ATACCTCCTCAACACCTGAGGATGTGCGGTGTCGTAAGCTCATGGTCATGCGTGATGTTCCTACGCAATGGAACTACACTCACACTATGATTGAACGTGCACTCCTACTACAAGATGTAATCTGACGATTTCCTGCTGCTTGCTACTCTGGCAGCTCAGTGCTCATTCTCTATATTCACAGGCTGTTGACACATGGGTGTTTCGATCAAAGAAGTTGCGATCACTCCTCATATCCCCAGCCGAGCGGCAGACATTGCAACAATTAGGCGACATCCTCACTGTGGGTTCTTCATCCTGACGTGACGCCCAGTGTGCTAATATGATATTTTGCATAGGTCTTCACCAAGGTCACTCGTGAGATGTCGCATGCTGGGCGGCCGACGCTGCCGTTTGCTCTGCCAATGTACAAGCAGATGCAGAGGTCTCTGCAAGGCCATGTTAGCAATGCTGCACTCTCGCCGATGCTGCACAATGCGGTCGCTGCCAGGCTTCTCAAGTTGCAGGAGTACTATCGCTATGCCAAGGAGTCCCATTACACAATCATCGCCACTGGTACATTGTGTCTAATCTTGCTGCAATGTTTGATGCTGATAATCTGAATTACATCTAGTGCTCCATCCATCACTCGGCATCAAGTGGTTTGATACAGTGGCTTTCATATTGATAGACCATTTCGGATCTCTTGCTCTGTAGGAGCTCGGAGCCTCCCAGAGACCTAACCCGATCGAGTAACTTGTTTATGGCATCCTGCCACAGCGACGCAGAACTCTTCCTGCATACAAGGTCTTCCACAATGCGCCTAGAGCTGGAGACAACTCCCACAGTGGCCGTCTGAAGAGGATCTCATGCGAGATTGGAATTCTTTCCTCGACAATAGGTGCATACTCTCTAGTATGCTGACACCTTTGAATCAGAGGATTGAAGGAACCCGGAGGGCCTCCGGTAGGCCAGGTGGCGGTAAGCGTTGGGGCGCCTTGGTGCGCGGAGGTTGTACCTTCCATACCTTGCTACCTTGCTCCACAGATTTGTGAAGAGAACAAAATCGCGGTGGTCTATCGATATGAAAGCCGCTGTAAGCTTGGCGGCCACCTTCGCACGCAAGCAAAGGTCGTATTCAGGCATGTCTATGCCGTCGGACTACGCCGCCTCTGTCCCACATGGCAGCCACCCTGACCCTGCTCCTACGCCGAAGCAAGAGACTCATGCAGGCAACAACAACAGCTTCCTTGAAGAAGCTGTCATTTTGGATGGCAATGAATCGCAATCTGGTAACTCTGCTGCATCAAGCTCAGAGCCAGAGAAGTCAGAGCTCGACCGCTACCTTTCTGGGGAGGGTGGTGTCAGCGAGCTCCGTGACCCTCTGGGTTGGTGGAAGGTGTGTCTTCGGAATGCCGACTTCCCCGCCATCTCTTCCTGAAATGTTTTTCAAGGTGAACTCTGCTCAGTTTCCCATCATTGCACGCATGGTACACGACTTCCTCGCCATTCCGGCAACCAGCATGGCAGTCGAGCAGCTATTCTCGAAGTCTCGTCATCTGTGCACTGACATTTGGGCTTCCTTGAAGGCTCTCACAATCACGGAGGCAATGTGTGTGAAGTATTGGATCAGGTCTGGTCTCTTCGATGTTCATCGACCCAAGCCTCCAACAGCGCTGAAGGGCCAGGAGGAGGCGCGTCCAACTACTTAACCGCTGATGTACAGTGGCGCTCAAAAGTATTGCACGCCGGTATTTACTACCCGTTTTTGCAACTGTATCCCTTTTTTCTCCACACACAATGCATGGTATGACATGAAACTGTGCAGTAATGTACATACGGGTTTGTAGTACATATACACAAAATTTCATGAGGATTGGATCATAACTGCAGGCTTGAGACGTGCAGCATTGAGACGTGCAGCAATGAGATGAACATTTTGTTGATACCTGTTTGTCCCCGGTGCGTAGACGTGCACGCACCCGAGTCTCCCAATTCTTTCTCTCTTTTCTCTCTAACCACTTCATCAATTCTCCCCAAACCTCCTGCAACCTCATCCTTTGCTTCCATATCAACTATGGCTGAGCTCACCTCTACCAAGAAGAAAACCATTATGATGATGTACAGTCTTGGTCAAAAGACTGCTGACATTGCTGCTGAAATTGGCTGCCATCCCTCCACCGTCCGTCATAATCACAAGAAACTCCTCGAAAACCCCGACCCCTATGCGAAGCCACACTGGCCAGGCCGTCCGCGCAAGCTCGACGAGCGCTCCCTTCGTCACGCCCAAATCGGCAAGGCCCGTGACGGTGCAGATGTCCTTGCTCAGCTTCCCGAGGACGTTGGGGCATCCACCGTCCGCCGGAACCTCACCAAAATTGGTCTGCACGGCCAAGTGCGTTGGAAGAAGCCTTTCCTGAAACCTGAGCACGTCACGAAGCGTCTTGCCTGGGCTACGGAGCATGCAGATCGGACGATGGATTTCTGGAAGAGGGTCTACTTCACGGATGAGTCCAAAATCAACCTCTTTGGCTCAGACGGGAAGCAATGCTGCAGGAGGAGGGTTGGAGAGGCCTTAAAACCCCAGAACGTGAAGAAGACGGTCAAGCACGGAGGAGGAAGCCTGCAGGTGTGGGGATGCCTGACATGGGATGGGCCAGGTCGTCTATATCGCGTCGAGGGGAAGATGGATGCCAAGCAATACTGCAAGATCCTCGACACTGCCTTTCTTCGGACACTCTCCGACTACTCCCACACCATCCCTGACATCATTTTCCAGCAAGATCTCGACTCGAAGCACAAATCGTGCCTCGCAACAACTTGGTTTGAGGAGCACAATGTCGAGCGGTGGGACTGGGCGCCCTCATCTCCAGACATGAACTTCATCAAGCATGCGTGGGAGCATCTAGACCGCAAGGTCCGCGCCCGCAACCCTCTTCCAGCCAATTTGGACCAACTCTGGGCTGCCCTCGAGGAGGAGTGGAGGAACATGGACATCAACTACATCTGTCACCTCTACGAGTTGATGCCACACCGTGTTGCTGAGTTGAAGGAGGCAGAGGGTAACTACACGGACAACTGAATAATATCCATGTATCACAGCAGCTGGTTTCATTGAAGTGATGGTGATTTTTGAATAACTTCTCATTGCGCACTATGAGCGATATGGGCGCTTATTTGCGCGAAACGCGATTTGAATCCCTTGAGTTGAGCAGGTAAGAACACATTCTGAAAACTACATAGGATGATTCTACTAGTCATGTATGTAGTGTACAAAATGTGTTTTGTGTGATTTTCCAAAGTGTTGAAGTATGGCAGGCAAATTACCCGCCGAAATACCGGCGTGCAATACTTTTGAGCGCCACTGTATGATATATACATCCGATTACTAGCTATAATCAGTTTCAAACCGATTACTATCCGACTACTCATTACATACTCTTGTGTAAATGGTTGGAGCCTTAGATTCAGCCTCTACTCCTCCTCTCGGAAATTGCCCCCCTCAACTCGAAGCAACGGTGGGTAGGAGCCTGGTACAACAGGCCATCCTTCACTTGGAAGGAAGGGTACGCGGGCAGGTGTGCCATCACCTTCGAGAAGGTGGTGTCCGCCTAGTCTCGTGACCGCCGTGTATGCCCCCTTGACTGCCTCGTCGAACCCTCGCTCTCCCCGCTTCGTACCTTTGAGGGGCAGCCCTGACGGTAGCGCAGCACGGACGGTACAGTACCGAAGTTCATCGTTCTATAGATACATAAGATCTGTATCACGAGTCCTGAGAATACAGACTGAGTTTATCGTTCTATCACCCCTCCCAATCATCTCCGTCTTCGCCTCGCCGCGCACGCCCGTGTGGCTCCTCGTCCTCATCGTCCTCCCGACCCTCGTCCACCTCCATCTCGCGCTCCTCTTCCTTCTCTTCGTCCTCCTTGCCGTCCTTGTCCTTGTCCTTGTCCGCGGCTGCTTTCCTCCTTCGTCTCTTCGGCGCAGGCTTCTCGCCGCCGCCATTGGCGTCGCCCGCAGCGGCCTTCCTTGTCCTTGCCCTTGGCGCGCTTCTTCCCGCGCGCCTCCGCGTTCTCCGCTTCGATGTCGATGGTGCCGCCTGCGGACGGATCGGGGACGGTCTCGACGATCTCCTTCAGGAAGTCGAGCATGTCGACGGTTTCTACGGCGTGCTTGCTGAAGCGCCAGCGAGGGTACCAGACAGCAGAAGGGACCGGGGAGCGATGAACGAGGGCGCGTGATAAATGAATGCGTTAGTTGGGAAACAAGAGCAGGGACAAGGGAATGTACAGGTGATACGCTTCAACTCTCTTGGATCCGCGTTCCACTGTCACGTTGCTGGCCTCTTCTACGATCATCGCCAGGAACAACTCCAAGGCTTTAGCTGTCGAGACATGAGAACGTCAAGAGGGACATCGAGAGACGGAGTATAAGTCGGCGGTCAATGCACAGCCGCACGAAGTGAAGCAACACGACGCACAGATTACAACCGGGGTAGCCTGCGCTACCTTGCCCACCTCCTCGTCCTTCTGCATGATGCGCTTGATGCGCGCCTGGGTGCGGTTGTTGTATGCAGGATTGCAGGGGAGACATTTCACCAGCAGTGGCGCGAGTGGAATAGATGCGTAACGCGTTCGTGCCGCGAGAGTATCCACGACGTGTCGCAGTACATTGTCCCGGATGCAAGGCCTGCTCAGAGTGAGGACAAGGAAGAGGACGCGGATAGGCGTACGACTGGGAACTTGGTAGCCTTGTTCTTGTTCTTCATGACGTCGGGACCTCCGACGCGGCGCGATCTACTGTGAAGGCAATGCGTTGAGATACGCGCACGATACGCAGCCCGGCGGGGCGGTCACAAGATGTAGGGTGGTGGTGGTACAAGAACAAGAACCGTGTGCTCCTCGCGTCCGCAGCGAAGTGGTATTTGAGACGATCATGTTTGAGCTCCAAGTGATGGGAACTGGACGCACTGCTCGCTCCAATTACTATCCTGATATAAACCTGCTACAGGCCTGCGTATCAACACGCCGATGGTGAAGTGGTTATCATGCTTGCCTTCCACCTGAGAAACCAGGAGTTAGCAAGCGGCACGGGTTCGATTCCCGTTCGGCGTATTCCTTTTGTGCGGCCTTTCACCCATCCGCCTTTTGTCCTTTTGCCCCAAGCCTCGCCGCGCCGTCGCCTGAGCGCATCGTGGCTTCCGCCACAGCCTGAGCTACTCCGTGGACCACAGATGTGATCGTCACCCTCACGCTACCCCCGACGTTCATCGTAACTCTTGATCTCTGACTCTTCGAAGCACCCTCATGGGTCTAGCTGAAGTCTCCGCTGGACGCAAGATCCACCCGCTCAAGAGGAGAAAACTCGCGCACTCCGAGTCTCCAGTAATCTCACCCTCGCCATCGCCCGCACCGTCCATCGACATCAAGGTCCCTGTATGCACTTCATGCCATCGTGCATTCTCTGGATCGAAGAGAAATCAGCTCGTGCAGTGCGCGCGGTACGTCCCTCTACCCTCCACTGCACATCCCGTCGACCGCAGTGCCGTGGTGTTCCGATGTCCCGTTCCATTCCTAATGGGAGGGAAATGCCTCGCACATACACGTACTGACTACGCTGCGTACACACGCAGATGCCACGAACCCACCTGCCCGATCTGCTCGCGGACGTGTAACGGCTGTCCGCCGTCGGTGCCACCAACACCCGCTCTTACCTCCTCGTCGAGCACGCCGGATACTCCGCTCATGTCTCCACAACGGCCCGCCTCCGCGCTGAGCGTGAACATGGCGAACGCGCGGCAGGATCAGCCGGGAGGGTCGACCGCGGCGGTGGCGGTGGCGGGGCGGCGGAGGAAGGTGCGTGAGCTCGATCGAGACGACGAGAATGCCGGGATCGACGGAGAGGACGGAGGACACGAGGACAGCGTCGATGGCGTGCTGCCTGGGTGCGGGCGGACGGTCTGCCAAAAATGCGCGTTCGAGACTCCCGCGAGGTGCGTGCTTGTTGTCCGTATCGTGGCTGTATGCGCCCCGAACTCCGTACTGATCACGATCGTGTTTCTGTAGTGACCTGACGACCTGCCTTGACTGTGCGGCTCGGTACAAAGGGGTCGACTAGACCTGCGCTTCCTCACCGCATCCTGCACTGCTGCAACCATTGACACATGCTATCCTCTCGTCTGCCCTTCATGCCTAGGGCGACGTCGCTATCCTCGCCGCTCAACATATGCTGCTCACCCTCCTCGTCGCCTACAACCTCGCCTCGCCCTCGCCTGCAACATGTACTGTACTGATACATTAACGCATATTCTTAATACCCCGACCTCCAGCCTTCATATTGGTTGCACGCACGATTCGCTCTGTACATGAAGCATGAATGCCCTCTGACAAGTACTGACCTCGCCATCAATCCAGGGTCGTAGCCGGAATCGAAGCAGCACACTGTCTCAACCCAGCCAGCAGCAAGAGCCTCTGCCGCACTGTGGAAGTTATTAGACTCCAACCAGTTTGAGATCACCTGTGATGGTGCACGAAGTATGTGTTCATTCCAATATACTGTATCAACAGATGATGTGTTGCTCACGCACGACCGTTTCATAGAAGCTGTTTCCGTATGCATGGCGGTCTTGCGACTGACCTCGACATGACGGTCATGGCGAATGCATTCGGATGTCGCAGATAGTGCTCATGTATAGAGTCGCCCCGACACCACACATACTAGGTCAGGAGGAAGCCAAGGTGATGCAGGCGTGCGCTTCTAGTACGACTCCTAGAGCCAGCTGCGAACTAGCAGGAGGAGTAGCCCGGACCGTCGACGCGTTGCACAAGCGCCACACTCTGCGTATACCCTGGATGGTCACGTACACGTGATGCGTGACCGACGCGCGGCAAAACCCCCCGCGTTCGCACGCGTCGGTGCGGTTGCGCGTCAGTCCGGCCTTACAGTCGACTGTCATCACCTCGTTTTGTCTCGTTGAAGCCAAGTGAGTTATTCCTCAAGCGGCCCCTCGCTCCTAGTGTACTGACGAACAGAGCTCAGTATTCCTGCCCAAAGTGCCGCTTGATGTCAGGATGAGTATTCAATCGCTCGATCTAGTCGGGGAACCTTTCGCCGTCATTGAGTCAGATCCCGGTGAGTTTCTATGCGACGCTGAATTGTACCGGAATCTTCTCTGAGGTTTAATAGGTGTCTTCACTACCCTGATACGAAAGCTCGGCGTCCAGGGTCTTGAGGTCACCGAGCTATACAGTGTTGAACCATACGAGACCGACCATCTCAATCCTTACGGACTGATCTTCTGCTACCTATGCGACGGCGAAAGCAATGCAGCAGATGATCTCCCTGCCGATGAAGAACTGGACGATCCCGACGCCCGCTCGATATGGTTCGCGAACCAGCTGAGCGACGATGCTTGTGCCTCGCTGGCTATATTGAATGTATTGCTCAATTGTAAGCGCATCGAGCTCGGGCCCGTGCTCACGGACTTTGCGGCGGACACTAATGAGATGTCTCCTGTGGTGAGCATAGTGAGAAGACCACCCCGATACCTATTGACCCTTGCCTCGCGATCTATCTGCAGATGAGAGGTCTGGCGGTCTCCAATCTGACCCTCGTGCGGGAAGCTCAGAATTCCCTCGCTCGGTGAGCTGGCATTCCGAAGGCTTCCATCCCGCTTCGATGATTCACCCTCCGAGGCAGGCCTGCAGACATTCGCGGAGCACGTCAGGCACTCGCCAGCGCAGCGCTCGAGTCCGCCAAGAGCAAAGCGAAGGCAGCAGCAGCTTCCCCTCCCTCCAAGAAACGCAAGACGGCGTCTTCGTCTTCCCGGTCCAAGCGAAAGGCCGCTTCCGCGCGCGCAGACGATAAGCTGGACGCCTACCACTACATCGGCTACGTCCCAGCGCATGGACGTGTGTGGGAGCTCAACGGGCTCCGCGCCGCGGGCCCCCTTGACGTCGGCGAAATCGACTCGGACGATCCCACGTCGCGTGCGGGCTGGATGGACATCGTCCGGCCAGCGCTCCAGCGTCGGATGCAGACAGTGCTCCAGAGCGGCGCGGAACATATACAGTACAACCTCCTTGCGATCGTGGACGATCCGTACTTCAGGGCGAGCGATGAGCTGGAGATGCTCAAGAGGGAACGTACGGCGTTAGAGCGACGGCTCCGGGAGTCCTTCGCCGATGGCTGGTCAGATAAGGTGCGCGGCGAGCGTTCGGCCGTTGCCCTACGGCCGTAAGAGGTGTATTGGAAGCACTGACCGTCGAGGTTCTCTGCACACAGGTGGACTCGGCGTTGCTCGCCTCCGCGTCAGAGGCGTTTGCGACGACGCTGCGCCCACGTGCGCAGGAGACCGGGAAGGTGTTCGCGCCGGACTTCGGCGCGCGCAAGATGGCAAAGGAGCTTGCTATCCTGGAGATGCCGGAGCGCAAGCTGGTTCCCGCGTGGGAGAACTGCGTACGGGCCGCCCTGTCAGCCAAGGTCGCAGTCGAGGAGGAAATTGAGAAGTCGCGGCGAGCGCAGGTACGGAGTCCATACACGTTCTCCTGCTCCGCGGCAAGGGGACAGGAAGGCGAAGGCCAGGGGCTCACTTCAGTTGATCGCGATCCATACAGGCGGACCATGTCAGAAGGACGTTCGACTACGAGCCGTTCATTCGCGAGTTCGTGATCGCTCTGGAGAATGAGGGACTGCTGGACGATGTCCTTGAAGAGAGATCGGCCACTGGCAAGGACGCTGCTACTCAGCCTCGACCCGGCCCGCCGTCAAAGGCCCGTGCGAAGTCGAGGAGAAAATAGTCCAGAGTCACTGGCCGCAGCGACCATCGATGAGAGTGAGTGAGAAGGTACCTCGGACGGGGGAGCACGCCAGCTGACTATTTCATGCTGCGGTGCACAGATCTGCGTTGGTGCGGGAGCGCCGCCGAACATGCTGAAGCGTCGTGGAGGCGTGCGCATGACAACATAGAGAGTCGCTAGCCCCTCCGGGCTGTTTTGCCCACGGTCAAAATGGGATGCTCGTCCGTGTCCACTGGCTGCCATGCACGGGAATGTACCGTTTGTTTAGACGACCAACGCGTTCTGGGCCGCCGGCTCGGGCCCGCGAGCGCAGTGAGCGGATTTATTCGACAGCTGTCGCCTGCGCGGTAGCCGTGCCTGTGGTGATGTACGATAGATGAGCGTAGTCGAGCATGAGGGATGGTATGCCGTAGACGTTGTTCAACAGTTGTTCGAGCGGCGGAGGGAGGGTCTGATCACTGAGAACGCGGACGAACCCAAAAGTCGGGATGAGCGTCAGTTTCGGGCATTCCCAATCTCTATCTCGTACCTCATCCTGGAACTTCCCCACCCTCTCTCCTCGCCTTCTCCACGACCGCCGGGGGTTTACTGCATGAGGTCACACTCGAATCGTATGTAAACCGACGGGCTGCACCGACGACGGATCCAAGCCCGTTTACGTGAACGCACGGTCGCTACGAGACCGTCCCGGCTTCTATCACCTCACCTTTGTTCTGCTTCGCACCGAACCCCTCCGCTCACTCCACCTCCCTCTCTCTGAGTCATGAACTCGACGTCCCCTGCGAGCCCAGCGCCCTTCGCGCGGCCGCAGAGGGTCGACCCCAACAGCGAAAACCGTGGTTCTGGCCTCCGCGCGTCCATCCTGGAGAGCGCGCTCGAGCTTGGCGTTGGCACCAGTCGCACGGTCGCCCAGTGGATGTTCAACCCTCTCGATGAGGTAGTAGAAGAGGACGACGGGAACGAGGTACGTAGCCGTCTTTGTCCTCCAGCACGCATTTCCTGAGCGGACGATGCGCGCGGTTTCACTCAGGATTCCAACTCGCCGAGCCTCACGTACGCGTCGACCGCGACGTCCGACGAGTCCAACCTTTCCGCAGGATTGGCACAGCGCTCCCAGCCCGGCGCCGGGATCCTTGTCGCCGGGAAGGACCAACCGCTCAGCCTGGACACCTCCGTTCAGGACTCTCAGCGCAACTTGCTCTCTCCGGAGGGCGCCACCCCGGCGTTGCATACGCAGCGCTCGCTACAGTTCGACCTGCGTGCGACGCCCGAGCCGCGCGTGGTCTCCCCTGTTCCATCACCGCAACCGAAGTCGA